AATAAAATATTAATATATCATTATCTATGTGTCACGAGTTTATTTACTACAACAAAAATCTAAGAACATAATTAAAATTTTAAAAATTTAAAATAAATTTGGAGGCTTACCGAGTTTTGCCATTTGACTGGGCGGAATCTGTCACACGTTTTTGCCAAGTCAGTGGACACGTTTGCGTGCTGCATTGTTCCATCAAATTTGCAATAGTCATAACAACTTTTGTTAAGGATGTTAGGAAAAATCAGTCCTCACCTTCATATACATATATATATATATATATATATATATATATTGAAAATAGGCAATGGGTCCTCACCATCATATTGAGGGTGATAATTATGGTAAAGTAGGTTAGACTAACTTATGTTTAATTTTAGGAGTGCTGTGCTGTGTTGGGTTATGGTATAATTTTAAAATTTTTTATTATTTTTCTATCATAAAAATATATAAGATATTAATTAAATAATAAAAAAATGTAAATATTAATTAATTATAATAAATTTATATTTGTAAATATGGTTTTTAAATTTATATTTTTAAGAATATTTTTTTACATTAATTATTATTAAAAAAATAAAAATAGAAATTTATTTAATTAATTATTTAGTTATAATAATTTATGTAATATTGGTGATAAAATGAATAATAAATTTTACCCTTTTTAATATCAACTAATAATAAAAATATGTATTACTTCTAGTATTAATTTTTATATTAAAAACACATTAAAAAAATCTTTCAAATATGGTAACCAGCAAAAAGGTGTTGAATAAAATATTCCCAAAGGTAGCCTAGTTTTTTTCCACGTGCCCAAATAGGCGATGACCCAAGTCAATACGTTGGTTATGGTAATAACCGAAAGGGATCAATATTTTTCCTTTTATAATTATTTTTTTACTTTTTCATTTTTTTATAATTTTTTTGTTGAACAATTAATGGAGAATTTGGGGATGGAGGAAGCAAATGAAGAAATAAAATTATTAGGGTTTTATTTTTTTTTTTGTCGTTTTAACCTCATAGTCCTAAACTTTACCTTCTCATTTATTTTCTTGTTCAAATTCTAGATATGAACCAACGTTTTAAATTTTAAATTTAAACAGAAAAGTTTAATACATTTGTTTTCCATTTGTTTATCTAAGGAGAAAGTGAGGTTTTGAACATGCTTTTAATTAATGCAAGCTGACTAAATGAACTAGGAAAGGACTCAGTAACACACCCAGAAACACAAATGCAAAGGGTTATAATGCTTGGCTTTGTAGGAACATGCAGAGATGTCATGTCCTTTATTGTTACAGCTTTTTGCACAATTTTTCTATTCAATTGGGAGAACATATAATTGCACATGCATGTCAAGGAAAACAATCCAATTTGAGCAACAAATTATAAGTTAAGTATAACCCCTAGGCCTACTATCCTAGTTAATAAAAGAGATATATTTGCTCATTGTTCTGTTAATTAATATTAAATTTTTAGAAGAGGTCAATAAAAAAATATTTTTTTATAAATTTTTTAATTTAACATAAACAACTTGCTTTTAATTAAACCAATGGTATAGATTTAATATGGTACATGAAGGCTAAATCATGATATGAATACCTTCCGATCGCTAAGCCAAAAATTAATTAAGCACAAGAGGGAACAAAACAAAAGGCAGTCCTTGATTGGAAAAGAAAGGGCATATTATGCCATTATCTACCAGCTGGATACATGTATGAAGTGATTCAATCCACTTAACAAAAGCAACCATTACCGTGGAAGGGGGCGGCGTACAAGTGACCTCCACATGCA